AGGAAGAAGCAGCCCAAAGTTTAAGCCGCGGCTCAAAGAGAAGACAGAGAGTGGTCTGGCCAAGAGGCCACAAGCCATAAGCGGGAAATTTGCATTTTTGCCACATTTAACGGTTTAGTTTTTTCCTCTTGTTCAGTTTTTAGCGGCAAGCAACCGCTTCATTGCATTTAAAATTGATTTGTTCATGACGAACTCATTTCGGCGGCTAAATGGCTGAAAGGATAATGGGTAACAGCGTGTTCCAGAGTCTCTGATGGCTGCCGTTAAAGATTAACCCCAGGGACGAGCACCAAACACAACAAAATGCCAGCGATGAAAGCGGCTCTAAAGGCAAACCGGACCAAAGCACCGACAATTAACCAAAACCACTTAAGCCACACTTAAAGCCTAATTGGAGGGGTCAAAGCTAAGAAATAACTCAGCAAAGAAGCCCGTAACTGTACTAAGAAATATCCTGTATATCGGACATTGACACATTACACAAATCGATCAAACTTTTTGCTCTTTTCCCTCCCGGAAAAAAGAAACTCATTTAACTTTTGTGACCCGGCAAAAGTGTCAAGTCAGTGCCTATTGGACGACAAAAAAAGTACACATTTCTATTTGATATTTGCACAAAATGACAGTTTTGATTACCAGTGACATTTGCACGCGACACTGATGGGTTTTTACGGGGGTTTAAGGTGAAGGGAGTTGTATAGGCTTAAAGTCGAAAGGGATAATCTGAAGGATATGGGTATTATAAGAGGTTTAAACTGATAATTTTGTATTATTTTAGATTTAAAATCCATTATTTTTACCTCTACAAACCTAGAAAATATTAATATATCATGCTAAAACCCACGTAAAAGTCTCCTCCACTTTTTCACCCATAAAACCCCCTTTCTATAGCCCAAATTCCCTTATAAAAAGCCTCCTTTAATGCCAAATTCCCTTTCACAGCTCTGACAGCCTTCGCTAATGAGCTGCAAAAAAAAGGAGGCCTACCTGCAAACTGATTTTCCCATCAATTTCCCCAAACACACATACAGTGCGCGACATGGCTGCATTATAATAAACATCATGTCGAAGCCAAAAGGTCAACGACGGAAAGGAAAGTCCTCCAATATTCACACAGTCAGAGCAAGAGAGCTGGCGGCCTGCCTCCTGCTGCCTCATCGATACGGATTCCAAAAGCCATTCCTGCCTGCCCCAGCCCGGCCAACAAAAGTGGCTTAAATCAACTGATGACAATGCTAACGAAGCAGTCAGCAAACAACAAACAAACTGCGACACTCGGCAAGAAGAGCAGCAGCAGCAACCGAGAAAAAATGGAGAAGGACCTGGTTGCAGATGAGGAGGAGTAGCCAGGAGTCGCGGCACCTGGAATTGAGTGCAAAATATGGCGCAGCAAAAAAAGTTGGAAATGCACTGGGAGGAAAATATAAAGAGAAATAATAAAATAATATATATAGTAATAATAATTTATAGAATTTATGAGGGTTTAAATTAATATTAATAATAGCTATAAATTCATATTTACAATATGTTGAAGGTATATATTTTAATTCTGAGTACGATCTATCAGGTATGTTTTATGATTTTGTATGATTTTTAAATCCAGTAAGAACAACTTTTATTATATACTTTTAGATACGTTTTAAGGGGCTTTAAAATCCCTGAAATATATTTTATTCCTCACTGATTTCTCTTATTTTATTTTAAACCGTTTTTCCGAATGTATCTAAAGTTGAAGGAGGAACTCCTTATGTCTTGTCTGGGCCATATCCATGTTACTTAGCGTCTTAGAGCCAGTTGGCGCGTCATGTAGCCAATTAAAAAAAGCGAAAAACGACAAGCGCGAAGAGCAGAGACTAGAGACTGGAGACCAGCGACTGGGAGACTGGGAGACCGTAGAAAGGGGGCGGGAAGAATTGTGGCTGAGATTCGACAATGGCGGTGGAGGTGCGGCACAGTCCCGGCTGTCCTGGTCACGATCTCGGCCAGAGCCAGAAATCTAAGCGAGGCAATCAAATTAGGCAAGAAAACAAAATCGCCAGGCATTCGGTGTGACCCACAGAGAAAAGTCTAGAGAGGGGAGCGGAGCCAGGAGAGCCAGTGCAGCGCCTTAATTGCATCCTTAATGTGCTCGCACACACACACACACTCATCTCGAATGCTAATAAAGGTCAGGCAGCCGGATATATGCACATCTCGATAGGCGAGTGTCAACGTACCGTTTGAGCAAATTTCATGCCTGATTTTTTCGGCTTTTTTTCGTAAACTCTTTTTTCCGATTTTTTTCTGTTTTGAACGGCAGCTGGGACATTGCAACATGACACCTCGACATGACAGCAAAATGAGCTTCTGTTGCCCGACTCCTTTTTGAGATCTCTGCTGCAGCAGCACCAGCACCAGCAGCAGCAGCATGGAGTGACAACTCCAACGGCATGGCTTTCAAATATTTAACACCAGCCAGCTTTGCCTCCAGCTACAGATTCGGAGCCCAGGCTTCGACGCACCAAATGCATGTGAAATCGATGCCAAAGCCAACACTTTTCGCACTCACCGAAAGATATAAACAGGGACTGGGGGAGAGTGGACACTTGCTGTGACAGTAAAACCCAACTAAGAGGTATTCAATTGAAGCTTTGAGGATCTTAAAGATAAGGATTGATTTGTTGTACATATGTGATATTTTTTTCTGGACAAATCAAAGTTTAAAAATCCCATAACTAAGTCAAAAATACATCAATTTTAGTTCGGACTATGCTAGTTTTTAATAGGTTTATAAATCTGCTTACTGAATTTAAATTTTTTTTAATTAAAAATTTTTGACAATTTTAACGATGTAACCCCTTATAACATTTTGAAAAAATTGACTAAAATTTGTTTTCCCCCAAACATGGCCAGAAAGATTCGCCTGTTGATGCTGATCAAGAATATATATGATTTATAGGGTGGGAAATGACTCTTTCACTGTTTAGGAAGCTTCCGATTAAAATTTAATACCCTCCAAAAGTAGATATTTCTAAATAAAATTGTAATTCATTTTTAGTATAACTAAAATACCTGAACGTATTTCTTAGTTTCGCCAATATATATAACTTTATTACAAATCAATAAATCCCACCTCATATCGAACTATTTCGCTTCAAAGTTTTAAGGATAAATTCAATCATTTATCGACCCTTCACTGTAGCCTACTCGACCAGGCTTCTCTCCTCGAATTTTCGACCAATGCCAGTTTGGCATTCATTTATTCGCATCTGTTGCCAATTTACAAAACTCAATTTCAGTTGATTTTTTTCCATCTTGTTTGATTTCTCGATTTCGATTTGGTTTTTTGCAGGTTTCTCGCGTTTTTGTCAAACGTCGGGCCGCCTTAATTGATTTTGGCGCTTTAACGAGGCGCAAAGTAAACACACTCCCAGCGAGAAAAAAAAATAAGAAAATAAATACACAAAAAATACACCCATTTGACAGCTTTGTGGGCCGAAACGAACTTGGCTATCGGCGTGTTAATTGAACGCGAAATTGTAACGAGATTGAAATTGTAATGTGGGGTAAATAGCTGGGGTATCTAATTGAATCAGAGATTGCCGTATCTCTGAGATACTTAGACACTCGTGACCTTACTTACCTATCACACACTCATCATCTCTCAAAATAAACTCTGCTTAATTTTTATATATTTTTTATTTCTTGTAATCATGCAAGTTCTGTTCTTTTTGCATTTAATTTTGGTATCAGCAGTCAGCTTCAATTAGTTTTCCGTAATATTTTTCGTAATCGTAATCGTCGTTCCATCACGCACCGCCGCTGATATATATATATATATATATATTTAAATATTTATATATCTCTTTATTAATTATGTACACCATTGAAATTCGGACACTTTTATATGGATGAATATCCGACATATTCGTAATTACACATATTTCATTTGAATGAGTTTTTTGCTCAGCTCCACAGGCTGCTAAATATGAGTTGTAATATTTGTAGTACTTGATAGCTTATGCAAGAAACAGTTAAAATCGCTTATGCCGTTTATGTTTTCCTTGTATTCATAAGATTATTCAATTATCCATCAATCTCTAAGTTAATATTGGGTTTTATATTTGCATTATTTGCATTCTTGTGCTTCGGTTTTTATTTATACAGTGTGTGTGTAGTAGTAGTCTCAATTATGTAGATTAAATATTTATTTAATGTTAAATATATCATTGTTTTTATGTTTATTTTATATATATTACTTAATTACCACAACAAGCGTTTCCAGTTTTCTTATTTGATTTACTAACAATTACAATACATTTACAATATATTTGTTGTTGATACGGGGGATTCCTCAGCTCAACTGCAATGTGTGTGGACTAGGGCTCAATTTAGTGGGTTTTTTAGACGTCAAAAAATATTAGGATACTTTTAAACCGGAACATAAGAGCTGAAAAATGATAAATATATAAGAAAACCAAAGGTAAATGTGTCAGGGGAACGTAAAAAATACTTTTAAGAGTAATTCTCTTCTTATACAATCCAAAAGTATGCTTTAAATTGTAATAAAAGAACGTCAGGCATATTTCATTGCCTACTTTTAGCGCTTGCAATGAAATCCTAGTAAATTCGAAATCTCCTAAAAATAAGACTGATTTATAACTAAATAAATTCAATTAATAAAATAATCCGTAATAATCAAAACCCATTTTAAAATCGTTTTGAATTCCTATTAGTTTAAGTTCTATACAGAGAGGCTACATGCAGATTAAGCTATTAATACTCGATTGGTAAGTTCTTCACATATTAGTTAGTTATAGAGCATTTTCGATAGAGAGAGTGATTGATAGGATGATCTTTTCTGGGAGGAGGATAGAGTGGGGCTGCATTCGCTGTAAACAATTTCACATTTAGTTATTGGTTAAGTTCAAATACGAATACGCAAAATGGCTGTATCGATTATATATCTATATATATATTACATAAATATTTTTAAGTATATATATATTGTATAATTTTTATCTTTCTTGTGTTTACACTTCATGCAAAAGAAGAAGTTTAAAAACTGTTAAGTACATATAAAAAATATGAATATCCAACCAGCCTCCCTCCTTCACCGAATTCCGTTTAAAAACAAAACCAAGAGGGTAATATCTTTTTGTGCTGGTCGAAAATATTTCCAAAGGAAAGGTTAATGGAACTCAGACGGAATTCAGTACCAGGCTGTCTGTCTTTTACAACTATTGTTATTTATCATAACTATATACAGGTTGTGGGGTAAAGATCTAGACAAAAAGGAGTTAAAAAACTCTTACAAAGTCAAAGCTATGATTTCTCGGCTCCTTGAAATTTCAATTTCAAAATGTTTCCTCCGTCCTATATCTGTAATTAATGTTTATATACACTTTATATATATATTATATATGGGTTTACTATGCCGCTATGTGGTTAATTAGAGAGAGTTTCGTGTTTCGTGTGTTTACCCGTATTTGCTGTTGCAGAAAATGTCATCAAATCATAAATGTTATACGCATCACAATCGGTATATATGGTATGAATAATATATGGAGCTTATGGAGGAGCGAAGGAAGGTAGGTCGTCGAAGAAGACATCAATCCAATGCTACACATTCTAGGTACACAGAGAGAGATACAAGATAAATAACATGCAGTCCTAAAGAGCTGGGAGAAAATCGATTTCAAGATCGATTCATTGGGTTGTGATCTATCACCGATATATTATTGAAAGTATAAGTTATTTTTATCTTTATTTTTCGGAGAAACGATACAAAATAATTCTATAAAAAATAAAAAAAGAATACGCTAAAAAAACGAATTCTTTCCCAGCTCTTTTCTGGCAGGAAACGATAAACAATATCGAAACAATATAACGATGACGATGACAAGGATGATGATGATGAATTTCGATTTAATCAGAGTTTTTTTTTTTGTTGCTTGGTTTAAGTTGCAATTTGTTTTCCATTTTATTATCGCTCTTGCTTACGCTCTTCTTACCGCTCTACATTTTTACATACTACGAAATTACATCGCTACATAATTATTATTATTGTTTAAATGTGTTGGTTTTGTTTTTCCGTACTCGCTTTTGGATCTCTTTTTAAAATATTATCATTATTATTATTATTATTATATCGTTATCATTAGGGCTTTACTGTTATTATCGTTACTATTATGATGAAGCATTAGCCTGCTCTTTCGTTTTGTTTTTGTTTTTTGCAATTACACGAATACAATTAAAATTATTACCTTGTATAAAAAATAATAATATTAATAGCATACAATAATAGTGTGTGTCCTGCAACTCCACATCCCTCCCTCTCGCGAGCGGTTGCCTCTGAAGTTGCGTGTGTTCCTTAGTTAAAATGTAACTAAATGTAGTTTTTTTGCTTTTTATGTTTCGCTTTTAAGTTACAGGATAAGTTAATTTAATTTACGTACATTGAAAAATGTGTTTTTTTTTGTTTTGTTTTTGTTTTTTCCTCGGGCTGCTCGTGTCCAGACCAAGTCCCTCAAGAGGGCATATGGTCGCCCAGCGAGCTGCCCGGCTAAAGCGCGTGGTTCTGAAACGGCCTGGGCCGGAGGAGAGGAGTCACCTCTCCCCATCGTTACAACTATTCGTATCACTAAACATAGTTTCATTCCATTAATCAATTATCTCTTGCAGTTACTATTATTTCGCGTGTGTTTCGTTTGCAATTATTATCGAATATGTACAGTTTTGCTATTTAACACTTGAGTTGTTTGCTGGCTGATTCGTTTGGGAAGATGCATGGATGGATGGGTGGATGGAGGAGGAATGGAGGGAGGAAGGGAGGATGCTGGTTTGGTTGAGAGAGATTAAGAGCCAAAAGTTCTCCTCGATATACATTGTACATATAATATATATATTTTGCTTTTATTAATTTAATTCTTATCATGGGTTTTTCGTTTTTTCGTTTAGGGTTTAGGTTAGGCGATCTTGAAAAATAAGACCTAAATCGTTATACACACATATGCTTCTCTCTATATATAGCTATAGAAAATCTGAAAATTAAGCGAACTTTGTTAATGGTGGCTCTAATTTATACAATATCTCCTCCCCATCGCTCTCTCTCCCTCTATCACTTCCTTACAAGATCTACTTTACAGTTGTCTCTCCCTTCTGGGAAACATCTGTAAAATTTAGTTCAGGATCTCGCTGCTGCTTTTGTTCACCAAACAGAGGGCACAGCAGCAATTGTTGGGCTGCTGCAGGAGCTGGCCCAAGGCCATTTGGCCATCCGCCGCTGCTGACAATGGCAGGGCTATGGCCACCGCCTGGGCTTCCGCTTCCGGCTTCAAGCTGAGCAATGTGCCGCTGGGCAGTTGCACGGTTTTCGGTTGCATTCGATGTTAGCTGCTGCTGCCGCTTCCATCCGCGTCTCATCTGTTGATCGTGGACGTTGTCACACCCGTTGCTCCGCCTCCTGCTCCAGCGCCAGTTGCTCCACCGGTTGCATTAACGCCTCCACCTGCTGTGGTGGTCACAGCTCCTCCTCCTCCATTCCCTCCGTTGCCATTGTTGTTGTTATTGTTGTTGTTGTTGCTGGTGGGCAGCACCACTCCGCCATTATTGGCACTGGCTATCACCTGCTCCACGGTCAGGGCCTTGCCTACATCCTTGGCACTCAATAGAGTGCCGCCGCCGTTGCCTCCATCCTGGGAGCCCACATTGTTGGCATTTGTGGCCACCAGCTGCCTAATGGTGGTGGTCGTTGCCTGGCCCACTGCTCCGCCGCCTGTGCTGTTCACCGTGGTGCCCAGCGGCAGGGTCCTGGTTATAATCGCCGAATTGTTGAGGCGTCCGCGTAGCACCTGCTGCAGTCCACCCGGACCCAGTTGCATCTGCATCTGGCCACTGTTGTTCTTCTGCAGCGGCTTCACATTCAGCAGGCTGGTGTACAGCACCCGCTTGTCGCCTCCTTGTCCTGGTTGCGAGTTCCCAGCGGTGGCCAGGGTCTTGAGCTTCTGGTGTTGCTGCTGTTGTTGCTGCTGCTGCTGGGACTTGTTTAGCACTACTGTGGTGGCGCCCACCTGCTGCGGTCCCTCTCCGCCACCCGAACTGCTCACAAAGTTCAGCTTGAGATTGGAGTTGGTGGTGATTTCCTTGTAGTGCAGCTTCTGTCCCGCTGCCGCCGCTGCTTGCAGTTCTCCAGGCGTGGCAATGGTGAAGTTGCCCGCAGTTCCTCCGCTAGTGCTGTTGCTGCTGCTCGTCAGGAAGATCTTGTTGGCCTGCTGCGGTCCCGCCTGGGTTGTGATGATTGCTGTGGAGGCGGGATGCAGGCTATAGTTGTGATTGGCTGCTATGGCAGCCGCTGAGTTGGGCTTGAGCTGCTGCTGCTGCTGGTTGCTTCCTGCCTGCTGTTGCTGCTGCTGCAGATTGACGTCCGAGACCAATAGAGGGAACTGCGACATCTTGAACACCTTGTTGAGCTTGTGGAGCTGCTGCTGTTGCAGCAGCAGAGCTTCGCTTGATTCCACTTGATCGCTGCTATTGCCCGGAGTGGTGGCCACCAGTTCCTCAAGATCCTCATGCTGCAATTGCTGGAGCTGCTGCTTGGTCAGCTGGATTTTTTGCTGCTGCTGCTGGTGTTCTTGTTGCTGCAGTTGCTTGCGCAAGAACTTGCGATTCAGCAGGAGTTTGTTGATGTCTAAATGGAAATAGATACAATTTAATATAATTTTTTATAAACTTTATGCCAGAAGAAGGTGTATATTGGCCTTGCAACTATTATCTATTTACTTGAAACCCTTGAAAGTTGGATAATCTCAAGTGCTGCCAAGTATTTTATAGAATACAAAATAAAACCCTCTCAAGATTAGATTACAAAATTGTGGAAACACTTCAAGGTGGCAAGTAAAAGCCAAGGAAAAGTAGGAATAACTATTAACCTTTTGTCAACTATAATCTCACCTGTATTCTCCGGTCCATTGAGCTGTCTCTTCTGGGTGGCCCTGCTCGTCCACAGAATCTTATTGCTCACCGCCACTGGCGAGGAGTCCACCGTGGTGGAGAGCACTGCTGTGGTGGCCACTGCCGTGTTGGTTCCGCTCACCTGCCGCCACACAATCGGTTGCTGCTGCACCAGCTGCTGCTGCTGCTGTTGTTGCTGCTGCTGCTGCTGCTGGACATTGTTCCGCGTGGGTGTTGTAATAATCAATGGCGTGCCGGTGGTCACCTGCTGTACCTGCTGCTGACCTTGCTGTTGCTGCTGCAATCCTGCTATGCTGTGCACCGCCAGCTGCTGGCCACTGGCCGTATTGATGATATTTACACTAGATCCCGTGCTGCCATTGCCGCCCGAGGAGCCATCATCGTTTTGCACCTTGACATTGGACAGCGTGATGACCGTGTTGGGACCTATGGAAGCTGTGGTACTTCCGCCACCGCCAGGCACACCCGTCGTCTTCTGGATGGCATAGGTGACCTTTTGGGCCGCCGCTGCAGCTGCCGCCGTGACAATCTCGCCGCTGCTGGTGGTATAGATCATGTGGTTTCCCGTGGCGCCAGCGCCGGCTGCTTGGAGGGGCGTCAGGGAACGCTGTCCCGAAGCGTCCCGCTGCATCTGGAAGAGCAACTGTTGCTGCTGTTGGGGATTCTGATTCTGGTTGGGATTCTGAGGCGTTGCCTGCCGCTGCTGGACGGTTACGTTCCGGAGCTGGGCCTGAGCCAGCTGGTGCTGCAGCTGCTGCTGGGCGGTGAGAGCGGGCAGGGGACTGCTGCCGGTGTGCGGGGTAATGGTCACAATGTCACCCACAGCTGCTCCGCCGCCGTACTCGGTGCGTGCTATGATCTGGGGACTGGCATTGGCGAACTGATTGAGCAGCTGCGCCACCTGGGGCTGCTGATGAGGCTGAAGCGTTTGCTGTTGCTGCTTCTGTTGCTGGGTGGTTATTTGGGCGGGTATGTTGATCAGCTGAGCCGTGGGCAGGGCAATGGTGGCTTGTGGAGGCAGCTGTTGCTGCTGCGCTGCCTGGGTTGCCACAGCAACGGAAACAATCTCCGTTGCCTGAGGCTTCTCCAGCGCCGGTTCCACTTTTACAGTCACCAGTGATGCTTCTTTAACCATGACCTGTGCCTGTGCCTGCGTCTGCTGCTGCTGCTCGGGCTGCTCCATCTCCGTGGGCGGCTCCTCTTTGGGCGTGACCAGCTCAGGCGGCGGTGCCTGGCTAAAGAACAGCTGCCGCTCCTTGAGCGTTTCCGCCGTGGGACACACGGTAAAGGTGGAACTGCCCAGCGGGCATTGCGCTAATCTCGTCTTGCGATTGCGACCAGCGCGCTTGGCGGCTTCCGCCGCTCCACCCACCTTTGGCTTCTTCTCATCGATGCAGTCTAAAAGCTGGTCGGCCATTTCCACTTCATCCACCGCCGCCTCGCCATCGAGAATGCCATTCCAAAAGCTGGTCGCCTGATTCAACGCCTTGGGATCATCCATGGCGCACTCCTGCAGGATGTTGTCCAGCATATGCTCATGGTTGTCGTCCTCGTCCTCGTCATCTCCCAGCAGATTATTGATGTCGTTCAGCGAGTCTCCGCCACTGAGGTTGAACTCTAGAGCAGATCCATTGCCCGAGCCGGAACAGTTGGGACTCTTGCTGCTGCCGCGTGCATAGTCCTGGGCCTGAACCGTCTGGAGGAGCTGGGCATCCGCCTCGAGATCCGAGTACTTGAAGGCGCTGCTCAAGAAGTACGAGTTGGACTCGGACAGCTCCTCGGCGGTACTCAGCTTGCCCAAGCGATTAAGCTCCACGCTGATGGGTGTGTCCTGGGTCCAGTCCACGGCATTGCCATTGCAGGACTTGCCCGCCGCATCCTCCTGGCCGTCGTCGGACAACTCATCCGTGGGCGTTTTTGGCCGAAAGTGCAGCCAATCGCGACGAATCTCCGAGAGCAGCTCGTTGCAGATATCCAAACGCTGGCTGGAGGTGGGCGAAAGGCCGCCCAGGTAGTCCGCATCCACGTCTGCTTCTTCCTCGGCCGGCGGTTGGATAAACAGATCCTTGGGTCGCGGCGCATGAAGCTGACTGTTGCGCAGATTTTGCAGGCGAATCACATCGGGCAGCTGGTTCAGGCAGGGCACCGCATCCTCCTCCTCGGCACGTCGGGCGGCCTGCATCTGTTGCTGCACCACCTGCTGCTGATGTTGTTGCGCCTCCAGCTCCTTTTTGACCGCCGTGTGCCGGATAATGCTGCTCAGCTGGGCGAGATTAACATCGTCCTCGGCCTCATCGTCCATGAGTTCTGGCACGGGATCCTGAAGGACAGCGGCGGCTGTGCGAATGCTGCTCAGCGGTTCGTTGGAATCGTCGGCATCGATCAGCTCACGCTTTATCGTCTTGGCCACTTCCTCTACGGAGAGTCCATCGGAGGCTACCGTCGTCGTCGTCGTTGAGGATGCGGCTGCTTCCGCTGCAGCGGCTGCTTCGGCGGCTCGTGCCGCGGCCGCTGCTGCCGAGGTTGAGGCCACCGGTTGATCCTCCGAGCTGCCGACTTCCTCGTCCGCCTCCTGCTTTATCACATTAATTTTTTCGCTAATGCTAACATCCTTATTCATAACACTACTACTACTACTACTATTGTTGTTGCTGCTACTGCTGTTCTTGTTGTTGTTGTTCAACACGGTATTGTTGTTGTTATTGGAACGGTGGTGCTGCTGCTGATGATTGGCTCGTGTTGGCTCCAGCTCCTGATCCTTCTTCTCCAGCCTTTCTGCCGCCAGATTCTCACAAACTTGCTTCTCCTTGCTGGCCTCCACCTCGTCCTCCTTATCCTTCTTGAGTTTCTGGCCCAGAACCAAGGCCAATCGTTGGAGATATGCCCGCGGCAGAGGACCTAGAGCTGGCTTGGCCTCTTCCTCTTGCGGCATATTATCCTCGCCGGCATTGGCCACCACCTCGGAGGATCGCTTCAGACGCTTGGCGGCGTTCAGTTCGCGCATTTGCTGCTTTTTGCGACGCAGGCGGCGACGTTTCTGCCGCAGATCCAGCGAACTTTGGGGCAACGTAACCGCAGAACTGTATATACCCAACCGGGACACATTCTCATCGTCGGTGGGCATGTCTTCATCCTCCACCTCCATCTCAGGACACTCCTCCAACTCTAAATCCATCACCTTGCTCTCAGGATTAGGTTCCACCGCCGCTGCTGTTGGTTTCTCCACATCGCTGGCAGGTTCCACTTTAATCAGATCCGGAGTAGCAAGAGGCGGCAGCTCGCCTTCGATGGGTTTTCCGGCAGGCAACAAATCCACAACAGTTGGCGGTGAACTGGGCTTGGACAGCGGCTCGGAATGCTCCTGCTTGAGCTTGTCCCCGCCACATCTGTCAACCACCAGGCTCTCCATTACCGTGTAGTCCAGCTGCGACCAAAAATCATCGAAATTCGTTGTGGCTCGGTCCAGGAGGATGCGACCTCCACGACCCAAACGACGACGCGCGAACCCAATGCAGCGTGGCCTGTAAAATAAGCCCCAGGATACGGATTGAGTATGGGCATGGACACGGCCAAGTTAGATGGCAAACAAACCTGGGATAGTTGAGAGAGGTCAAGGTGTAACGATATTTGGCATCCGAGCAGGCTCCTCTGGACGGCACAGCCTCATCCTCATCCCCATCGGCAGACTCCCATGGCCAGCGGCCATCTCGTTGACGTGTCTGGAACGAGATGCAAGGAGAGATTAGGTTTAGGATCGCCGCTTCAGCTGGGAGAGGTTACTACTTACCGGCAGGTAAATACAGCTCGACCTGCGCCTAAATGCAAACGGCGCCTCCTCCTCGCTTTCGGAGCCCAGCTTGTTGTTGTTGCCATTCTGGGCACCGGCGCCAAAGTAGTCCTCCTCCTCGCTATCCACAACCGAATCATTGGCAGCCGGCGAGGAGCTCTGCTGCCTGCTGAGGTGGTGCATATGGTGGGGCAGGTGATGAGCTGGCGACACACCGGCGGTGCTACCCGCCGTAGCCGACAGGCCCGGCAAATACTGTTGTTGCTGCTGCTGCGATTGCTGGTGTTGCTGCTGATGCTGGGATGACTGTTGCTGCTGCTGGTGCTGCTGCTTGTCGCGGGGCAATTTGTGCTTGCGCTTTTTGTACGGACGCTTCTCCTTGCGACTGCTACTCCCATTGCCACTGCCACTGGTGATGGCATCTAAAAAGGGATAACAAAAAAAGGTTATTTGGAATCTAGAAAGAGTTTATATACGACTTATTGTCCTTACCCATTGTCAGATTCGACGTGTTCAGGTACTGCGACGCTGATCCATAGACATTCGCATTGCCCGCCGCTCCAACGCCACCGCTTGGCAGCAGACCCGTGGGCAGGGCGGCTAGAATGGCACCAGCCGTTCCCACCGCCGCCGCCCCTTGTGAGTATTGATTCGTATACAAAGGATTATACGCGGGTCTGCAAGAATAAGCAAAGAAAATGGTGAAAATAGTCAGGGGTTTTGAGTTCCTCGAAGGACTCACCTTGTGTTCTTATACTGAGCATTCAGCTCGGAGTAGACAGCACCGTTGAAGTCACGCATCTCCACGCGCTTCTCAAAGATATTCACCGTCATCTTGAGATGATCGCGTTTGGTCTCCTCGCGTCGCCGCACCATCTCCAGTATAGTGGTAGCGCGCTGCAGGTCGCGTCTGGATTTGGAGGTAACAATAAACAAAGATTAGTCAAGGGAGTTCAGGTAAACAAAAGTTGGGATATAAACGAATGCTGGCTAAAGGCTAAAGCTACCTGGATGGCTTACATGGAAACTGGGAAGAAAAGGAAAAGGAAGGAAACCTTTTTTTGGGACGATTTAAGGTGGGAAATTAACAAGGAAATAATTTTGGTTAGGAAATCCTAGTAAAAGGCTGGAAATACTCAATAAATTTAAGATATTTCATACAAATTCAATCAATTTCTAGTAGAAAAGCTCAAAATCGATAACTTATTGTTTAATAATAGCAATATTTTCAGTTACTTGTCATGAGAACTTTTACCTAATCATCGTGACACACGATTTACTATGGTAATCCAAGCCTCAGATATTTCTATATTGTTTGCCACATCTTCTGGCTGCCGTTGGCCAACTGCAGTTGGACAACCGGACTAGGAGTAGGAGTAGCCGTAGCCGCATCTATAGCAACCTAAGCAGCCAATTCCACACCAGAGCCACAGCAAATAGAAACGTTCCACACACCACCACCCACACCGCCAACACCCAACCACACAAACTCTAACAAACCAAGCCAAGCATCAGCCAACCGCCAAGATGTCGAAGCTATCGTTCAGAGCCCGCCACCTGGATCCGTCCAAGCAGATGCCCATCTACTTGGCGGAGGAGCTGCCCGACCTGCCCGAGTACTCAGCCATCAATCGGGCGGTGCCGCAGATGCCCAGTGGAATGGAGATGGAGGAGGAGTCGGTAAGTTTGATTTTAAGTCTCCTTAATTAAAGTTGGAAATTAATTTAGTTTTTTGATCCTTTAGGAACACCATCTGCAGCGCGCGGGCCTGATCATCCCCACGCCCGAGGTGCTGCAAACGGATCAGCCCTTTTACGATGCCTACTATCCGCCAGACTACAAGATGCCCCGCCAATAATGATAATGATTATGCTTATATGATTATCATCATAGCCATGATAAATAAAATGTGAACCTTCCTTACTCGTTACTCAAATAATCATCATGAAATAAAATACCCTCACACTTTGACTAACTGATAAAAAGTTCCATGACTAACCATAACCAAGTACAAAGTATCTTTAGCCAGCATTATTCGCATTATAAACTAGAAATCTCAACCGACATTAGGCGTATCATCACTCAATTTCTTACCGCAGCTTGAGCATCTTCTCGTAGGAGGCCTCATCGTTTTTACGATTCTTGCGGGTTTGCATTTTTTCAGTGCGCCGACGGAAAGCCAAATACGGATTGTTGGAGCTGGCGCCGGGACGACTCTCTGTCTTAACCGTAAGGATCAGCGGGTGTTGCTAGACAAAAAATAAACAAAGTTCAAATTAAACCGATTTAATGAGTCTATTAAGCAAGGATAACTCACCATCTTGAGGCGCTTGTTCAGCCAGTAATCGTAGACCGATATGCTGGTCTCATCGTCCTGATTAAGCAGGGATTTTGCCTCGTTTAGCGTGACCACTGTCTGGCCCGAGCTCTTCTCCAGCCGGTCCATCATCTGCTCAAACTTGAGTTCGGTGAGCTCCAGACGCTGCTGCTGGCTGAGCCAGTCCTCATCAGCACTGTCCATGTCGTAGTCGGGCACCTCGGTGTCCAGGCCAAGCGCTGAAATATAGATTATAAGTTAATTTTAATTTAATAAGCTTGAACTCATTCCTTACGTTGCATATGGATCATTTGGCGGGGCATCTTGTAGTCTGGCGGATAGTAGGCATCGTAAAAGGGCTGATCCGTTTGCAGCACCTCCGGCGTGGGGATGATCAGGCCCGTGCATATAGCGCGCTGCAGATGGTGTTCCTAAAGGATCAAAAAACTAAATTAATTTCCAACTTTAATTAAGGAGACTTAAAATCAAACTTACCGACTCCTCCTCCTTCTCCATGCCACTGGGCATCTGCGGCACCGCCCGATTGATGGCTGAGTACTCGGGCAGGTCGGGCAGCTCCTCCGCCAAGTAGATGGGCATCTGCTTGGACGGATCCAGGTGGCGGGCTCTGAACGATAGCTTCGACATCTTGGCGGTTGGCTGATGCTTGGCTTGGTTTGTTAGAGTTTGTGTGGTTGGGTGTTGGTGGTGTGGGTTGTGGTGTGTGGAACGTTTCTATTTGCTGTGGCTCTGGTGTGGAATTGGCTGCTTAGGTTGCTATAGATGCGGCTACGGCTACTCCTACTCCTAGTCCGGCTGTCCAACTGCAGTTGGCCAATGGCAGCCAGGGATTTGTGCTGCTAGAGCTACTGCTGCTGCTGCTGTTGACTCTACTCCGATGCGCTGGCTTCGTTGTTAGCGTTGTTGCTGTGCCTGCTTTTGCTCCGGCTCCTCTACTCACTATTGAGGGTGCTGTTAGCTGGAGATGGTGCTCCTTGTGGATGTGGACCTGCTCCTGATCCTGCGCCGATGAGTTAGCACCGGGGCTGCGGTGGCTGTGGCTGCTCTGCCAGCTGGTTAACGCAGCCCCTGTGCCCGTTCCCCTGGCAGACGTAATGCCACTGCTGGTGCGGATCGGCGGGTGTGGATTAGCAACTTTTGTGGCTATATACGGTGTATCCCGATCTGGATCCGTTTCGACACCCTCCCTCAACCCCGCCGCCTCGAGCTTCTGCTCCTTCGCTGCCGCTCTGGCTCCGGCTCCCTCCTCCTCCTCCTCCGCCCGCCGCTGCTCTACCTGATCCTCGTGGATTTTGGCTGACAGCGCCGACAGTAGGAGAATGGCCAAGGATGCGATTTGATTGCAATTACGACGACAACGCAGTGGTAGCAACAACAACAGTGACAACGGCGACGGCATTTTTCACGTTGAAATCGAAGGTGCTATGTGAATTGGCATAATTACGTTCATCAAATTTGCACATTTCAGTTCATCATCGTTTTTGCGTTAGTCGAAAGTGTAACTCTTTCTTCTCTTCACTTCTCGTTCTCCTCACTGTTTCTCTTCAATCTCTCTTACTCTCCTTCCTTCACTTCGCTTTGTTTTTGTTGTTGTTCTTCTTGTTATTCTTATACTTTGCGTAGTTGCTGCTGTTATCGTCGACTGATAAAAATCTACAAAAGAAACGGGGACAACAACAAAAACTAGTAAGTAAACAATGCACAAACACACGTACACCACTTAGAAGTACATCATATCATATATGTAAATATGTATGTATATGCATTAGGGAGCGCGCGCGGGAAAAATAATACACATACAGTTGCATTTAAATATATATTTTTGTTGCTCTGGCCGGGCTTTAAATTAACAGAACACGCACAAAAACACATTCGCCTTTGTGCGGCACTATGATTCACTGCCGTCGCCAGTTTCATTTCTCATTTTTTCTGTTATTAAACTGCGAAAAATGCCAAATCATAGAAAGCCGAAATAAAAAAGGCGGCATAAACAAACACACGCGCGGCGACAGCAGACTCAAACAAACGCGGCGAATTGCACGAAGTGGAAAAAACACGAAGCGCAAAACACGACGAAAAAGTGGAAAAAAAGAACGGAGAAAAAGTCCGCCTCATGTGGGTTTTGTTTTTTGCATTTACTGGCTTAATTGATGCTCCGCAATCGCTTGCGAATGTTTTTTCAGGCTGGGATTAATTTTTCACACACTTTACCGCACTTTTCATGCACCAGCGAGCGCAATTTTGTTGATAATTCGCTCGAAAAATTTACACAAAAATCCCGATTTTGCGTATAGCGTGGTTTTGCTGGAAAGCAATAATGGCGGCCAGAGAGCCGAACACCGACGACGCTGCGGGCTGCCGGGCCGCGATTAACGGCCGCCGACGGCGGCGATAACAACGAGCGGCGAGCGCAAGGCGGCAATTTATTTGCCCTTATATTGCACTAAACTGTCACTGGCTGTTGGGCTAAATATTTATAATCATGCAGTTATTTTTTCGACCGCCTGCCGGGCGCTTGTTTACACATTAAAATTGCATTTAGTTGTGCCGATGTTATCGATACATCGCCGTTGGTCAGCGAATATCGCGGCCTGGCTCTCCGATGCGACCGAACGTTCCGATGGCGCCCCCTGGCGAGCTCTTCCCGCACTAAGCCGAACGACTTTTTTTTCACAAACAAAAAATTGATTTAATTTTTTCACGCACATTTTTCACACTGATTTTGGCCTGGCCGAGCCTTCAATGGGTCAAAATGATGCAAATTGTAGCTTATTTACCACTGCCGCACCGTTTCCAGCTATATTCAGGCAGTTACGCTAGCGCAAACGTTTGTTTCTTAACAGCGGGCACGAAAAACGTGTAAAACTTAATTCGCGGCCACACTAATGAGATTTTCGGAGTAGTTCGGAGTCGCAATCGTCGCAAATGTGGCGAAATTATTTTGGCTACCCCTCTGGGCGAATTAATTAACCAAATCGAGTGCGGTTTTCGGCTAAATCAGCGGATTTTTTGAGGGGGGGTGGCATACATGCATGGGATTGTTGGAGCCCAGCTCCATTTGTTTAATTTGTTGTTAATTTTGGTGGACTTTAATTCGGAGTGGTGGCTTTTTTAGGACATTTTTGGTTTCTGGTACTTTAGTGGGTAAAAAAACCATATAGCAGGGACGCGTTAGGTTGTTTCTAGTGTTTATCGGCAACTGACAGTCTGGCAACGCTGGTGGCCCGTGCAGCCGTTACATGTAAAATGTAAAAATGAGACATTTTAATTTAAAAATGAGCCTATTAGATCTAACGTACTTTACCAAGCTACACAAAATTAAAGAGGCGTCCAAGGATAGGTGTTTCTACCTGATGGTGGACGTCATCTATCCCAAATCGGTTAGTATATATCCGATAAAGTTAAGTATACGTGGTCCCTGCCCATATCCCCGAAAAACGTGTTGCTGAAAGAGGCGGGATTCCCGGTAATTACAGATCTGCGCCACTTGCAGGACCGGATGACGGCAATGGGGCACGTGGACGTGCTCCTTGGTCAGCCTGATGCCGGCAGTGACGGTACTCAAGGGTGTTTGGTTAGAGGGCATGCTCCACATCCTGGCCATTGGACCTTGGCTGACGGTGGCTGTGAAAGCGCTGGTAGCCGCCGTAATTGGATTCTGCACACTGCACATTTACTCGGGTCTGGCTCAGCAGATAGGCATCTAAGCGATTGTGTCAATAATACAATGTATTCCTTTTTGTTTTGTAACTTGTTTATTATTATTTTGGTGTTGTCACAAAGAGAGAATGAGATTTTGAAACGAAGGACAACAGGTACGGTTTAGAAAATTATTTAAAATGTGAATGAATTATAACGTAATATTAACAAAGAAACGTACAAAAGTTTTTTAAATACATAATAAGGATGTTGTGTCAGTTTAGCCTAATGATGATTAGTGAGTAACAAATTATGATGATTATTAAAAAACAATAATTTATAGTCTCTTTTTAGAGAATTATCGAAAATGTTAATGAATTATAACGTAATAGTAACAAAGAAATGTACAAAAGTTTTTTAAATACATATAAGGATTGTGTGACGGGAACAATAATAAGTTTAGTTAGCCTAATGATTAGTGATTAGTCAGTAACAAATGTTTATGATTATTTTAAAACAATAATTTATAGTCTCTTTCAGACTGGTTAAAATTGTTGTAGGAAATCTTGTGTACTTCAATAATGAGCCTCTTGGACTCTGCGCCAACAATGTCTTTTTCTTGTATTTTCCTGCTTTTTAGTGGATCAAAAATCTTCTTGATCAGATTCTCCGTATATCTCACAAAAAATATACTTAGCCTCTGATTGCTGTTCTTCGGTCAAAATAATGGGATATATGGGAATAGCATTTGGAAATACTGAAATTTTCTTATTTAGTTTGGTTAAAAGCTCCTCTGCTGTTTTGCGCCGTTCGAAAGACTTTGGAATTGCCACAACTTTTTCTTCAAGAAAAGGTTTCTCCCTCAGCTCCTCTCGAGAATATTTAATGCACTTGTCGATAATTAGCTTCCTCTTTCGAGAATTTGTTGATTTATATTTATCAACAGTTATTGCAACGCTATGCGTTGTCTCAATAACACTGTCAGCAAAGGACAGCGATGGTTCGCATACTACGTAAGCTTCTGCAGGATAGTTCAATATAGCATCCAATCTGGACATTTTCGGTGGTAAAATGTCAGTTGAAAGGCAATTTCTCAATTGTGTTTTTGCTAGAATTAATCAATGATTAGTCGAACAAACAATTATTTGAATTGAGAACCAATTACCGGAATTTCGTGGATACAGTTCATAGAAATATGTTAAATCCGGTTCATCACTGTTTCCAAAGCCATCGGTTGGATAAATGTTCGACGGCTCCTCTTGAATTTGGATTTCTTCGGTTATGGTAATTGTATGATGTGAACTCGCTTGAGTACCATTTTGAGGTAGCTCAATGGACTGAGAATAATAAAATAAATGTTAAGAAACTTGCTCTATAAACTGATTATTCAGACCCACCTTCTCTAGGTCAACCTGCTGAGTGCATTCCGACTGCCACGCCTGACACTCGGATAGCATATTTGCATAGTAATGCTGACTAGTTTCACTGAGCAGATCCAATTCATCCAATCTGAGCCGTTTGGAGACCGTCACTGTGCTCTCATTGGTAATTACAGCCTTTCGCTTACGATTGGTTCGTATCACTGATTTCTCGGTTGTCAAAACCAAGTCAACGCTGTTGCCTTCTATTTGATCCAGCAAATGTTTGGTGTCCTCTAAAGGGATATATATTCAAGAGACTTCCTTCGGCCAAGAGTAAAGTACTCACCCAAGAGCATATCCACCTGACGACAATGTAAAGTTGTGACACCGCAAGCCAATTGCGTAAAGTCCTTGAAATGGTGGTACAGCTGGTCTTTTGAGGCCTCCGATAGGGAACGTTGTATATGAAATTTCTCTTTATTCACCAAGGAGGTGATTTGCTTGCTAAAAATTTACACAAATTCCTCGGTAAAGTTCACTAAAGATATGGATAATCATATGCACTAACCAACAGGCCACTGTATCCACAGCGGAGACTTCTGTATTACTGAATGAAAAAGCAACAGGTCTCCGTGACCGGGAGGCTCTCCAGCAGCTTTCCAGGAGGTTATCATCATATTGATTCAAATCAAGCGTACGGTCCTGCATGTTGGCTACTCGAACAAACACTCAGATCCTGCTTACATTTGGGTAGATCACTATTTATTGCAAAACAATTGCAATTTGCCAATTGGCTAAAATTCGCGCGGAAAAAAGCAAGCGGCCACTGATTAGTGGTGGAACAAACAAGGATGATTATTCGATACATGGCTTTCGAACAGCCCTTATATATCGGCGATATTTTTGGGAATTTAGTCATTTAATCGAATAGTGTTATTTTTTGGCGTTCAAAACACGGTCATACTGCAGGTCGGTCAAACATTTTCAGCGCAGCAACAGCAACAACTAATGTTAAACGTAAATAAAGTTTATTTATTTAATAAACGCTTAAAAGTGATATTTAGACGCCACGACAACTACCAAAGAATCCGCAGGCGTACTCCCCGATTCCCCCCAGAAAGATAACTAAAAAGCTATGGTAAGTGGAAAGCAATTACGACAAATGAAAACATGACTTTCTCGTTTAATTTAAATGCTTTTTTCTTTATTATAATCTCTTACAAGGCTTTTCGTACTCGCTGTTTATTTTTTTGCTTAACTTTCTTTATTTGCTAGTTACAAGTGATTATTTTTTATAGGTTTAAAGGTGCTCTCGTAGACTTTTCCGCTTTCCTTGGAATACAAATTTACTTGTTAGGTTTTTTTTGGTAACAATTTCTGGGATTATGATTTAAATTTGGCCAAGCGTTGGTTTGATATTTTGAGTGGCAATTTTTATTTGTCCAGCAAAGCGAGTTGGAAGCACCTGCTTAGTAAAAAGTAAGCCTTAAGCTCTTGTTTCGAAAGCCCAAGAAGCAGAAGAAGCCTTTTTGATTTTGTTATTATTCCCGCGCCGATGCCGATCCTCCAACGGGTTTCAGCTGCCTCGTCTCCATTTTTGGGGTTATATATTTTTAGTTTTTGAGCTGGTTTATAAGGGGGTTTGCCGCACGGACGTTCACAATTACAGTTGGGGGGCGGCGGCCGCCTGTTGCCAAAAGCGATATGGGGATATATTTCGCGGGGGACAGGCGGCACTTGGCCCTCTCTTTGGTTTCAGATGCTCGGCAATGCACGCGCGCCTGCCGCCCACAATTGCCCAGGTCTTCTGAAAAAGGGGGTTTCCCTTGTTCTTTTTGGGTTTTAATTAAATAATTAAATGTAAATTGCAATTGTGGAAACGGCTGTCGCGGCATTGCGACACTTGCATGGCTGCGATGGCGTACATGATGAAAAAAACATGTCAGACAGTGGTGTCGTATGTGAAAAAGCACCATTTGGGGGGGCGTGGGTAGGGGGTGTTGCACAGCTGCGAGCGAGAGAGAGGCACAGGTAGATTTCCATAAACAAATTCCAATGCATCTTCGCTCTCTCTCTCTCTCTCTGTGGCTGGCCTGCGGCGCCTGCGCTCTGGATTTTTGGTAACGGAACATATGCGCGCCACCTGGCGGCCTCGATGCCAGAGAAAGTGAGAATGTGAGAGTGAAAGTGGTGTGGTGGGAAGAGGTGAGTGAGGTGAACTGAGGTGGTTAACTCAATAGAAGAAAATCTTAATTATTTCTGCTAAATTCAAAATGGAAAAATTGAATAAAAATTAAATAATAAAAGCAACTGCTGATTCTTCTAGAGAGTTGGTTTCTTTTTTTTTGGGGGGTCTTCTAAGTGTTTCTTTGCCTTTAGTTCTTTTGTTTTTCTTTGCAATATTCAACAACCAATACCAATATCAAGTTTAGCTTAGCCTTGTTATAGGCTATTATTGGTAAGATCTTTGATATTAATTTAGTGCTTTTTGTATTGTGAGGAATCTATGGATGTGAAGCTCCAGCCCACAAATATGGGGCTCTCGAAACGTTAGTTACTTTACAAAGACTTCTTAGATCTTTCGCTTGAGAAAAAACACGCGCCTACGAGTAGTAAAAATTCACCATTGTGTTTGTCTGTGGTATTCATGAGTGTCTTGATTGGGTTTCTTCTAGGTGCTTCGCTAATTCTGTAACTGCATTGTACTTTCTGTATATATTTCGCTAACATTCAGTGAGTGTCTTCAGGTGTCATTGAGTGTTCTTATCTATTTGTTTTTCTTGTCGTTCTACAGGTGTGTGTGCCTCTAGTGAAAGAGTTGTAGTTCTATGTTCTATGTGTAGTTCTGTTTTTTGGAAGAAAGTTAGTAAAAAGAACAGAGTCGCAAGATCAAACAGAGTTGTTAGTTAGAGTATATAGTGAGAGAGATAGAGAGTTAGAGATAGTTAAACGAATAGAAAGATATACAGAGAGATATATAGAGGAGGTACAGAGAAAGAGAAATATATAGAGAATGTTGTTGTTGTTGTTGTGGACGCTGCTGAGAGATAGAGATGTTGAAGGAACTACAAAAAGTACTAAATTAAAATAAGTTTTTGTTTTTGCACTACAAATCCATGTGTGTAAGTTTTAAACTTCAATGCCTCGTTGTTTATTATGTTAATTAATGTTTTTGTTTTTGGTTTTATTTGTATTGTTAGTAAACTGTTTAAACGCATTAACCGTCAATCAATCAATCAAATACTGGTTATAAGAATATTGTCAACATTCACAAACCAAAATCGGTTAGATAGTTAGTGGTTAAATATATATATATAAGTTTATCTGTTATTGAACAAACCAACATACCAGGAAAGCAGGAAACTATACAAATCGAAACTAAAAAAGAAAATGGTGTAAACATTGCATTTTGGGGATCTTAGTTTTTTTTCGCTAAGTGTACGGGAAGGAGGGGAAGGGGGCTTGGGAGGGTGCTGGATTGAGTGTGTTTGTGAGTGTGTACCACTGAGATAGAATCCGATAATCCCATCCGTCTACGAGGCGAGGCAAGAAGAGCGAACTAAGAAAACGGTGCGCAACTGTACTTGACTTTTTGTTTATTTATCTTTTTTGGTTAATTGATTTTTTCTTTGGCTTGTGACTTACCTGGGCCCAAAAAGCAACGAAACTATGTAGTTTTGCATGCTTCGCGGCTGGACGGAAATGGACAATCGATCTATTAAGCATTTTTTTGTTGTTGTTTAGTAACTAAAGCCAAGTATAGAGGGTAAGTACGTATTTTACAAATGCGTGGGCAAAAGTGCACGAATGTCGAAAAGTTGAGTAGTTAAGTGAGTTGAGTAGCAATTAGGTAAAGCAAATCGAAGCCAAAAGTTAAGAGTAAATTTTGCTAGATATATAAATAGATATATATGTATGGTAAAAATGGTTGTTTATTAGCCAATTTTCAATTATACAAACGAAAACGGTTTACGCTTAAAATACAAAACTTCAAGTCGAATACTCTAGTCGAGAGGATAATCATAACCATTATTGATTAATTAATCAATTAATTCATAATAATATTAATTCAAATTCGAATAAATGTAAATCATAAGCTATGTAAGCTACAAGTTCCGATTCGATTCGATTCGTTTTTTAAAACTATCACTAGCATGAATGAGAATTGAGTCAATTTCAATTTCACAATGATGGGGGGATTTCTTGGTTTTGGTTTTGGTTTTGGGTTGGGCTGGGGATCAGGTTCTTGGGATCGGGATATCTTCTACTTACGAGCTAATTATCACTTGTTGAACATAAACCAAAGGGACCAAAGGGTGATCGGTACTTTATACAGTTTTGGTGCTGGTGGCAGGTTGTTCTATGAGGCTAACTAACTACACTAAGATCGATATTAGGCTACGGTCTCATTGTTGCTTCGTTACGTGATATGATGCGTGGGGGTTTGAACCGAGAGTACAGCTTAATGGCTAGGATATCTAGGGATACAGAGAGTATTAACAACAAATCATCAACGTGTTTATGCATATTATGGAGTTTGTTCGCTTTTCCGACTCTGGAATAAACAAGATGAGCAAATGTTCCACTTGGTCTCACTTGGTCGCACTGGCAAATACTTTTGGGATGATCTTTGATATTTTCGGCGCTATTTACAGGCCAAAAGTAATTGGCGCGTTATTCCAAGTTTACATATGATTTGGTTTTTGTTTTAGCTTTAGTTTTAAATTTAGATTTAGATAGAGTTGTTTAAGAACTAAGGTCTAGAGTGAATCGGTTACTGATTACTGTTTATCGGTTTTTGTTTCGGGTTCGGCTTGTCCCTCTGGTCGGGGGCATTTACAAATGTAAGTAACAACGAAATCAAAATGTAATAATCACTACGATTCCTACTTAAGCGCTACATGCTTCAGCTTTAGCATCAACAACATGCAATTCAAATACCGAGTACTGTGATATTCGATTCGATTCGATTCGATCTCAAGAACACTGTGCATCCAAAGCTGGCTTCTAGTGTCTAGTGTCTAGTGTCTAGTGTGTGTGTGTGGGAAATAGAAAGCCTTCTGGTCTGTAGAAGCTTTGGATTGCATTCACATTCCTTGGATCGGGTTCTCGAGCTATCGCTGGGTGCTGATCAAACTACACGGAGCCCGTCTTTTCGCAAAACTGTGTTTGGTGTGCTCCAAAACAAATCAATCGTAATTGTAAATCGTAAATTGTAAATCGTAACCGTAATTAAATCAAATCAAGCTACAAATCATACGCTTAGAGAGATAGAGAGAGATAAGGAGGATAGAGAGAGATAGTGGTGATAGTTTGTGTAGGATTACTCTTGGTGTTTTATGTTCTGTATGTTCTGAGTGGTGTGTGTGTTTGTCTTGTGGATTTCTGGATGATCCTAACACTTTCTATCTGCTGAGCAATTGACCCATTAGCCATATCACTGCCACTGCGATGGGTATGAGATGCAGCTGGCAGCCGTTAGTGTGTAAATTTTTACTAGAATTGCACATATCTTCCTCACAAAAGCACATATGTCCATTGCCTGAACTTTCCATCATGCACACGTGATCGACCATGAATAAATTGATCTGTAACTGTGACGTACACATGCGTCGCACCACCTCGTACGCTAAAATGTAGATTGAGAGAAGAGGGAAGAGAGAAAGGACACGCAAAGGAAGATCATGACGATCAATTAGTTGGGGTTTTTTATTTAAATAAATTAAAGTTTTTAAGTTGCTTTATGACTCACGTGATCTCTGATGCCGCACCATCTTTACGCAGCAACCGTTGCAGGTCATCAAGGGGGGCTGGTCCCGCGGCAAAGCCGTGTAGTTGAAGGGATCCTACAAAAAATCCTTTGAATGATTCAAATATATAGTTTAAACTCTCTAAGATCCCACCTTGCAGCGGGCATCTGTCCAGGAATCGCACTCATAGCAGTAAATCGATCGCGCTATATGAAAAGATAGCTTATTAATATCCCAAACTCAACAGGTTGCTTTTTTTTTTTTAGCTCTCTTTCGTCTAGTTTGAGGTAAGGTTTATTATTGGGTACAGTAACGACAAAACGTGCAACACACTTAGGCATGCCAACGCAAAACAAACAGCAGGCAAAAAACATTTATCGATACCAGTTTCAAAATTAAAAGGTGATTTTTGTTGCGTTACTATTGGAATCGTTGAGGGTAGTTTAAAATTTTTGAAACAGTAATAATGATATTTAACAAAACTCTCTAACTAACATACTTAATGGCAAAGTAAAGATAAGAGAATCAAAGATATGTTTGGGATTTCTTTTGGGGATACTCTCAATGGAAAAGTGTCTTTCTAGGGCATGCACTCACACTCACATACCGATACACCACAAACAGACACACACAAAATATCTAGGATAAAAGATCGATATTCTGGATATAGTTAGCTTCAGAACTTTCTTGCTGTCTTGCTTCAGTTGTAAATAAAATATAAGGACCAATAAATCTTCTTATGTGTTATGCAGTTCCGAAACGCACTGTACCACAGACTCACTCCGGACTTAATGAATTTTCATAGGATAGTTCAAATGAAGGTTTATTTTTTTTTAATAATAATAATAAAAGACAAAGCCTTGCCTGGGTGCGAAACATAACTAGAGAAAAAAGTGCAACAGAAGGAAAAGTGAAAAGTGAGGAAAAAGAGTTTTCAAAGGGATGCCCCGAGAACTGAACAAATATTGATTTATTGGAGGCAAAGCTTTAGGGATGAGCGAGAGAGATAGAGAGAGCTCCCGATATCGAAACGAAAAGATCTTAAGTAACACTGATAATCCAAAAATATTCCTTTATAATTCATTGCGAAACTCGACCGGCTCGAGTTTGTTAGAAATAGATAATACATATACTTATGCACGACTCTTATTATCATATTATTTAATGTATTTTTTTTTTTTGGCAAAAAAGGTAATCGATAGGTTTGTAAGCAAGATCAGTTTTGAAAAGGCAATGGACTCATACTTTGACATTCGGCTGAGGCCTGCGGAATCCATATTAAAGTTAGAAATCCGAATACGGCTGCAAATAAACAATGGAAGAGAAGAGAGCAAAGTAGAAGTGGGCAGTAGAAAGGAGCACGAACTGAAGAAACCGAAAAAATAAAAGGGGTCCAGTCGCTCCGTGACAGGTACAGTTGCCTGCCAATTCCAGGCGCAACTGTACTTGCCATTGAGCGATCATCTGATGGTGTTGGAGTATTGGAGTTGTTGGAGAGGGGAGAAAGTAGAGCTGGTTGTGGTGGTGGGTGGTTGGTGAAATGTCGACACTCTACACACGCCGGGGATTACGTAAACACTCGAATCGTTTCTGTGCACACACAGTGTTCCAAATGCCATTCGTTACCATCGCCTACTCGAAAGTATACTTATATTTATAGTATTTATACCAAGGTGAGAGACAGTGTTGTAAAAGGCACAGAGGAAAGACAATTTACAAATTACGTTTACATTTTTGGTGTGAACTTCACTGCAACTCAAGACGCATACGTGTTGTTTGTTGTTTTGTTATTGTTGTTGTTGGATGTGACCAGGAATATGCAATATATATGGGTTATATAGAATGTATATAGAGTACAGACAGCTGCTTATAGTCGATATATAACGGCATTTACAATCAACGGCACGTACGAAACGAAATGAAACCCATAAAGGAAAATCAAACGAAACTCAAATCGAACGCAACAATTTCTCTTTGACGTTGTTTTTACAGGGGATTATTTTTTTTTTTTTTTTTTTTTTTAAGATTAGTACAAAAACTGAAGGCAATTTTGGTTGAAATCGAAGTAAGGGGGGAGGAAGGAAATCATAGGCAAAAAAAGGAAACTTACTTGGAAAACAATTATCGGTGGTAGCGAATTTTGCCAATGCCAAAAAAACTATATTTTTGATTTTTGTTTACCGATGGAAAATGAAATGAAATAAAAAACAACAATGTACAAAAATGTTTTCAATCAAATTCAATTGAATAAGAGTGGATATGGCTTAGCAGCTACTGATAAAAGCAAACGAAAATCAATCATCATCTCGCAAGGTGCCCTATCTAAAGAATGCTTTTTTTTCGATCAATCAGTTGGCACTTGAATGGAATTTTCCTAGATTTTCATTCATATTTTGTGAATTAAATGGAATTGATTGTCTGATAACTTGATATTTCGACTTTCTATATTTTTATTTAATTTTTCAAATAAATCTCTATAGCATCTTCAGCAGCATCTTGCTTTCTGCCTCTCCCTGTGTATTGCCTTATTACTAAGCATCTCATAATACTCTTTATATTCATAATATTCATTCCGATTCTATTCTTTGATCTGTGTGAGAATATGATTTGATGTCCATAAAGCAGCTGGAACTTATGCTGGCTCTTTTGTTTATTGCTTCGCCTTCTGTGTTTACCATTCATATTCGCTATGGTGTTGACCTTTGTAGCTTATTAATAATTATTTTATGGTTATTTCTCTGGCTGTATCTGAGAGATATATTGTATCTGGATATATTGTGGATGCTTGTGGGTTTGCCTTGGGTGAGTGAGAAGGGTTTACCTGTTACAATTAACAGCCAATTGCCAAGGGCGGCATTGCCCGGTTTCCACATCCTGGGGGATATTCCAACGACGCCACCCACCTGTGAGAGGTAACTTCTGGGTTTATTTTTTAATAATTATTACAACGATTTAAGTGTAACTAACTCACCTGGTTGAGGGTCTTAATTAGAGTAGTTTTGTATTGTTACTGCTGCCTTTGGTCTCCACTCAAGTTCTGCTCCTGCAGCGTAGCATTGCGCTGCCGTCACTACAAGTTTATGATTTACATTTTAATTATCAATAAATATGTGACAGAAAATAATAATAAAAAAACATAAACAAACACATTTTCAGCTAATTAAAAGTATAATTTCAGCGTAAAGTTTAAACAACTGTTAACACAATAATTCCCAGAAGTTCCCCCCAAATTTCCTCTTTAAAGTATCTCTATTTTTGTATTAAATCCCCAAAGAACTTCAAAAAATTAACACTTTCCCCAGTTACCCTTCCGTTTATGGCTCTTTAATGGGGCGAGGGTCGCCCCTAGAGTTTCCTCCTGGCTATGATTTGTGGCTTCCAGTTTTATGGCGACACTTTAAGTTGCCGCGAAGCACACGCAGTGAAATATATTAATATATGGCATATATTATATATAGATTGTATAGGCAGAAGTGGATCAAAAACGGGGCCCTATAAATAGAGCCGCACAACCTCTAATAAGTGTGTTCTAGGTCACCTCTAGGTGTGTGTGTTCGCTGTGTGCGGAGTTCAAGTCATGGCTGCTGCTGATGTCAATGGTTTTTCTGACATTTTTTTCGGTTTCGGTTGCTCTGAAATGTGATTGACCGGCTGCCCGAAATCCTAGGAATCATCGCACACACTTCACTTGGCGGCTCTCTGCATTTGAAGCACACATTTCGTTCGGTTCGAATGAATTTATAGTGGCATTTTTTGCATTGAACTTTGGCAAAGTGTCAAAATAATGCGAGGGCGGGCGGATTGCTGGGGTACAGCAGACAAAACTATTTATATTTATATGTGTGCCACCGCTAAGAATAAGAATACTCTTTAAGCGGATGGAAATTGAATGGAAGCGATTGAGTGAGGGGATACCCTGGATTAAGAAGGGTTCTAGAGGGAAAATTAAAATATACAAAATATTACACATGTAAAAAAGTCTTTATTTAACTAGTTATTATTAAATATAAAAATCGTTTTTACATTTTGTTTACAATGGTTTTGGTCTAGAGAATATTTTATATTTAATATTTATTCGTAACACATCGTAAATATGATTTTAATTTTTATAACAAAACAGGTGTTTAACATAAAATAAATTAAAACATTAAAATCCTGTTAAAATCATATTTTAACCAGTTATTTAACAAAAAAATATTATAAATATTAAAAATCCTATTTCAAATTGCACAATTGTTGAAATTGTTTAAAAAAACATTAGCTTTGCCGACTTAAAGTAAGTCATAAAATATTTGACTGTGCTATTTGGTATATAGAAAGGTTTTAAATTATTTGTAAAATTATTTAAATAAAATTTCTACAGCTACAAGGCAAATTATATTAAAAAATAAATATTTTATGAAATTACTAAATTAAAATAAATATTTTATTCTCAAAAATCTATTAATTCTTATCGGCTTTTATATTAAGTAAACCATTAACAAGAAATTGAAGTAATTATTTAAGAAACATAATTAAGTTCAAGACAACCTTTATCAAAACTAAATTGAAAATGTCAATAAAATATTCAAAATTTTTAAAGAACATTTAAAAAATCCTCTATAAAGTTTAAACAATAAACCCATATACCCCTTGGCAATAAATGTGATCATCTGATCGTTAAACTGCCTCAGCTGGCTATTCCTATTTTTCAGGTTAAGGCTTTGGCTTGGCACCACTAAATTTAGCGCAATGTTCCGCCAATAGTGAGCACTTTTAGCACTCCTCCTGGCCAGTGGCAAGTGGGTCAAAATGTGGTTCAATGGCCACAGCCATCCTACATCCCGTTCAACAAGTGTTTGCAATGCCGCCGCCCCGTTTTAGCCATGGTTCACATTTCATTGGGCCATTCATCACAAATTTTAATGGCACTAACGAGCTAATTGCAGACTGGGTCATCGCACAGCATGGATTTGGGTGGGACTTTGACTCAAAGACACTTGAAAAAAAAGAGGCTAGAGTCTCCTTGATTAACTTGCCTTTGTCCCGGAGTTACTGGCTAACTGAAGTTGGCCTTTCGCTGGCCATGTTTCGTGTGCTGGCCCAGACACACGCGAGTATTGATTTTGTGTGCGACACTGCAGCCTCTCCACTTTCCTTTCACACTTTTCCTTTCACACTTTTCCTGCACGGCTGGGCCGTTGTTTCATAATACACAAAGTACACACGGATCGATTGGGCCAGAGAGGCTTAACTGGGCCAAGTCTGGTCAGCCTTTAGGGCCTAATGCAATTTGCATTCGACGACCCTCGTTGCGGTTGCGGTCGCGGTCGCTTCGATTTTTGTCGCCACGATTTTCCCCACTGTGTTTTCCGCAGTGTTTTCCTATTGATTTCGCTCACAACACTTCTTTATTTGTTGGCCTTTTGATTTTCTTTTAGGGCTTTTCATTTAACCCCCTGCACTGGCCAATTGTTTAATTCACTGATTTGTTGCTAGAAGCTTTTGTTGTTGGCAATTTCTGCCTGATTTCTGAGTAATTTATTTGGGTTTTTCTTTCTGTAGCACAAGCAACACGCAACGACATTGACAACGACTGCGGCCGAGCGGATTGGATTTTCCGATTTTCCCTTTACGCTTTTTGACAGTTTTGGCGCATGACGCTTTTGACGTATGCTGCGGGGAAGCTTTTCCGCATAGACAGTGTTGGGAAAACCGAAAGAAAAAGCTTTTAGCATAAGCTTTAAAAGGCGCTTCATTTGAATGGGAAGTTTTAAAATTAAAAGGAAAATTTATAGGTAAATCAGAAATACTTTAAAGTATTTATCTTGATTTTATAAATTAAATTCTGTGATGAATATTTCACTTTCTTTAAATTTTTTAAAATCATTTAATAACATATTCCCCCATATTTTAACCTCCTGTTATTTTCTAAAAATGAAACAAATAAAAGGTTATAATTCAGTTAATGTTTTTTCCACTTTATTGTGAACGCATGAGAATACAAGTGATTGTTTTTGCTTTGCAGAATTTGCATCTTTTTTAGGGGCAGCTTAGACATTTAAATATTAGTTAAATAAAAAATGAACTTTTCATGAATAAATACACATAAATACACACGAACAGGGGGAAAGTACACGACATAAGTATATGGATAGACACTGCAATGATTGGGTTTTCGTAACCCTCTTCCCTCTCTCTAACTCTCTAGATTCGAGTTGCTGAATTTCCTTAATTTCTAAGCATAGTCGCGAGCTCCTTCCAGTTTGCGCATCTGTAAAATATATAGAAAATAATAATAACAAAAGAGTTACAAGTGAGCTTACGGTTTTGTTAATTAAACAGGGATGCAAACCGATTAAAAATTGAGGATAGGTTCGCTACAGGTACGGTTCAAGACATTTTTGGAGCCATTCTCTAGGGGTTTTATTTTTTGGCATGCAGGTTGTTAGCAGGTTGTTTTAATAAACGAGAATTTGCTAAAGCGATACAAAAATATATAATTACAGGAATTATAAATTTTGAACAGCCATGAATGTGAATTTTAATAAGTAAAGGTTTGAGTTTTAGGGGGTTTTATGTTTTAGAAACGATAATATGTATGTTTGTACGCTTTGTGTTTAAAAAAGAAAGGTTTACTTATTTGAAATCGCTTTTAAAGGTGCTTAAAAAAATGCTATGAAAAATTATAACATAATTTTTTAAGCCATATAATTTTTATAGAACGAACCGAACCGTAAAGAACTAAATCCTTCGTCTTTTGAGTATTTTCTTGAGTTCTAATCGCGGTTCGGTTTGCATCCCTGAAATTAGGAAACTCATAGTATTTACAATGCGGTGAGAGATGTGTCTGTGTGTGTGTGTATGACAGTGTGAGTGTATGTTACAAGTGATCACTGATCACTGATCACTGATCACTGATCAGAAGAAGGACTCCTCGCTCCAGGCGCTTATCAATCGTACTCTCACCTCGCGTTCATCGGCGTGCGTTCGGTACTTCTCGGCCGCCTCGTTCGTCTTCGGCGCCGGCTTAGCCTCCAGCACCTGGGTGTACAGCAGGGCGGCGGTCACGCCCCCCAGTATGGGCCCAGCCCAGTAAACCCAATGAGAAGTCCAATTATCGGTGGCAAAGGCAGTGCCCACAGTGCGAGCAGGATTCATGCTGGCACCCGTGTAACGAATGGTGCCCAGGTGGCCCAAGGTCACAGCCATACCAATGGCCAGGGGGGCAGTGAAGCGTGAGTCGGGTTTGTTGGCATCACAGGCTCCAAACACCACGAGCACCAGAAGCAGGCCCAGGAAGAACTCAATGCCCAGACCCTGCAGTTCGGTGATATTGGTAGCCAGGCTGGTGTGACCCAGGCCATTGTAGTAGTCTTGATCGATGAGGATCTGTGTGGGGGGGGGGATAAAGTAGGGGGTTTTTTAGTGAATACAAACATTAAACTATTCAAATAATATTTAAAATAATTTTTTTTAAATTATATAAGTCAGGAAATAGTCCGAAATATTTTAAAAATTTAAGTATTAAATTGAAAGTTATTAAATAAATATTTAATATTATTCTTAAAAAATATTTAAGCAAAGAAATAATCTGAAATATATTATAAATTGAAACAAATCGGTCTCATTCAATTCAAAATCGCGTTAATGAAATACTCAATGAAATTATATATATTTTTAACTCTTAGATTGTGACGTTTTCGGCTTACTATTTTTAGAAAATAAAACAACAGCTGAAATCAAGAATTTCACAGATTGAGTATGTACTCAAACACTTATCATTGCCATGACTTCATACACTCTCGAACATTGTCGCCGTCATTTATCCACTCAACGAAAGGGGAGCAATTGTCGAAAACCGAGTCGTTTTTTTAAGCCTCTGCCGGATGTGGGGCAATCAAAACCGCGAAAGATAAATGACACAAGACCATTCTTGAAATGTTTTTGTTTTCCCAAAAAAATAAGACTAAATTACGTAAGCGGAATATATAAAAATATTTCTATAATTCTATTTCTATAATTTGTTGTATATTTTTATTAAAAAAAAAAATGAAAATTCTAAGAAAATATTTATTGTTCTCACCCTGACAGCTGCTGTTCCTGCAATAGATCCCAGACACTGGAATACCACATAGAAAATGGCCCGGATGAAGCTGATTCGTCCTGCTACCAACATGCCAGCAGTGACGGCAGGATTCACATGTCCACCACTCAGGTGACCCACAATCTGTTTTAAAATTTATATATATATATGTCAATATTATTACATTAATTATGAAATGAAATACTCACCGTTATGGCCATGAAAATGGCCAGGCCAAAGGCCAGGGCTTTGAAGGTTCCATCTTGATCCTGTGTGCATGCTCCGCAGGCAAAGAAATTAAGGATCAGATTACCTAGGAATTCTCCAATCAGGGCCTGCCACAAACGCAGCTCCTTGGATTTGAGCTAAAATAAATAATATAAATAATATTAACATGTTTATATTACATTTTTATAAAATTAAATACATTAAACTAGCTTCTAAGAAATATTTATCTGAATTATTATTGCTTATAATATATTTCTTTGATCATATTTTCAATATTTTTTGTTCCCCACTCACCTCATTGAGACCCAGTGAGTACTCGAACTTTCCCATCTTGTTCGCTTGGCTTTCCAACAGAAACTGAAAAAAAGAAAGAAGGAAAACTATTAGTTAGCTCATTTCTGGTTAGTAAAATGCAAATATTAATCCGAATTGCAAATAGAAATGGTCATCAACATGGAAGTGGACAATTGTTGGACATGATGGCTACTTTTTGCACTCATTTAAGGTGCGAAATTACTTTGGCCTTTGGCGACAAACTGTACTTCCGCTGCACTTTATAATTGTCTTGTTTCCAAATTAGTTGACAAGATTGTCTGGTTAGAAATTAATATTAGGATGGGTTTAAAGGTAAATAAGGGTAGTTAGAATCAGATGAAAAGGAATGATTATAAATATTTGATAAAATATTTATTTTGATAGGGTATGTCATAAATGAAAAGATTTTAAATTCTAGAAAAATATTACAACAGCCTTCTTCCCTGTTTTTCATTAAGGCTCTTTGAAGATGACATATTTTTCAGCTAAAATAAATATTCTTCTTAATGTTATATTTATTTTTCTGATAAAAAAGTTGTATCTTTATTATAATTTTATTATTATTAGTTAAGGTGCTCAACTTAACCCCTTGTTAGAGTGCGGAAAGTGGGTAATTAAGGGCACCTCCTTAATTCTACAATCCCGATCTTATCGGTGAATGCAGCTGCCTGCGAGAAAGTATGTATATATTTAAGCAAACAGCATGTATAATATTTAATTGGCAACAGGTCGTAAAAGTGAGGTAAATATTTGAACGCGAAAACCGGCAGAAAAGTGAACAACACTTGGGCTATAAACTGTTGAGAGTTGTAAGTGTTTAACTTGGGGTTAACTCTCATTTTATAGAGTGTGGATTCAGTATGGAATCAGCTTGAAATCAGAGAAGAATCAGTCAAGACTATGTTTGCTTTGCTTTTCTTATTTGGCGCAATGCGGTCACGAACATTTATTTGCTGGCCAGGCCCAAAAATGGCCTATAACTTGTTGGCCATGCCACTCCAATCATTACAAAGAGGAGAATATACTATAGACACCATATAGTATATATATATATAATTTGGAATATATATATATATAGATTATATAGAAACATTTGCCATTTGTAATTTGTCTTTCTCATCAATCACTGGTTTGTTCAATTTTAATTCCCGTTTTCTATGCTTTGAAAATATTTCAAGTTGTTCATCATTTTCCACAGTTTCTGGCATTTTTTTCTTGATTTTTTTTTCTCGTTTCTTCTTTAGTTTTTTTTTTAATGCAATCTTAATGAATTTCTTGTTTATTTGCGTCATCTATGCGGCCCCCCTATCGATATCAGACAATAGACTTCGAGTGCTCTGATATGGAAACGCGCGTTCCTTAATTGAGGCCCAGAGGAGTGGGCTTTATGGATGAGCTATACTCTTACTATATAGTAATTGAATTGACTTAGGGTGGGGCCTACCCTTCCCCCCTCTCGGGATAAGTGGCATACCTTGTAAAATCAACCCACACAAACGCTGCCTTTGATTGGAAACCCCAACGGTCTTTAAATATTTGTCATAGCCAAGTTAATCATCACAATTGCATTGTGTAAATACTTATATATTGATTCATTAATTTAAGCATGTAATTATAATTTTAGTTCCCATGTAGACTGACATTCCTTAGAGTGAGATTCCCCTTTGCTGACTCTTCCAGGGTTAATTAAAATCCCTATCAGCCTGTAGAACAATAATGCTCTTCGGCGGGGAACAAAAATCTAAACAATTAATCGACTCTGATTAAAGTTTACTTTGAGATTACTACTTTTCGGGCAAGGCAATTTATTGGAGGCGATAAAGCTAAGGCCTTTACAATTGGAAACCCTAGAAGCAATACCAATTTGTGTGGAATTTTCAATAGTGCGCTAATAACTTAATAGTGTCCGTGCTAATTCGCATAATATCCGAACAATAAAGTAAAAGTTTGCCCAACAAATTGGCACAAACGGCGAGAATGAAACACACAAAATTCACACATTTTTTTGCACACACTCAAACACATTGAAATTGCATTTTAACGCATTTCAAGTTGATTTCTCGTAATTCAAAGGCATTTCTGTGGCAATCCGAAACGTGTAGGAACAGAGGGTTCATGAACTTGAACTTACCCAGGGCAGGTTTCAAAATGTGTTCCAATAAAATTTAATTATATGCAAATAATGAAGAGTATCGTAAGGGAAATGTGCGACATCAAACGAAAGACGGACGTCGTTAATTAAAAAAACATCGAGATAACGAGGGTATAAATCATGCCTTCGTTGGAACTCAAGATGAGCTAATGCTGTTTTTTGGTTTTGTTTTTTTGAAAATTGGTCTTGTTGTTGGCATAAGAACAGGTGACAAAACAAAATGCTGTGGGCTTTTATGGCTTCTTTTTTGGTTTAGCAATTTTAAGTGGATTTTGGTTTGTATTGATGGGTTGAGTTTATTGGGAAAGGTTAAAGGTGTAAAACAATTTTAGACTTTTTGGAGTTTAAAGGGTAATTTTTATAGAATTAAAAAAAAAATGTATGTATCATTTATCTAAGAAAATGTTTTAAATTCAAAAAAACTCTCATTTAAAAAAGGTTTTCCACTTTAAAGTTAAATTGGCCAAAGACTTTCATTGTTTTTATTGCCTTTATAAGATCTAGCCCCAATTGCGTACGTCTGCCGATGGCCGTTACCGATATAGACATTTGCAATTGTTAGAGCCGCAACTTTTTGTCACTTAAAAAGCCATAAAACTTACTTAAGCTTTAAATTTGTATGCAATGCGAAACGTGGGCAGAGATGGGGATAAATAGAGGGGGAATGGAGACACAGGAGAAAAAGAGTAGCAATTGCAGAGGAGTTAATAGACGAGAAACTCCCACACGTGTTCGAAGAGTCTCTGTACAGTAAAGTCTCGCTAAGATATATAGCATATAGATCACAGTTAATAGGTAAGCTCCTCCAATTACCAAATCATTTCACTTTTGTTTCGGGGGCAGAGCCATCAATCATGAGTGTCAGATATGAAACGCAATGCTGAATGCCACCGGCAATGGCGATTTGCCATTAACATTACAATTACCCCCCGGCCATATATCAGCGGATCATGGCATTACCTCCACCCCGTACCCGTACCCGTGCCTAATTAACCACACAATAGGGCATCCATATAGAATATATAGAAATCTTAAAAGCTTAAACGGATCACACAACCGTAACCATAATAAAATGTATCACAAAAATCTGTGCAGTTTTTATATATCCTCTTCTCTTGTATTTTATTCTATTCTATATCCGACGGCTTTTAATTTCTGGGAATTACTCGGGGTCTAAAGTAAAAATGAAAATGAATACATAAATTGTGATATTTTTACGATTGACACATGCGAGCATTCGAGCTAATTTTGTTTATTCCAAACGCAAAAATAGGGAGTAAACGTGCAAAAAGCACGAAAAGAACACACAGATCAAAGAGAAAGATGTCACAAAACATGTTAGAGAAATGTTGTAAATGGGGGAATTGTGGGAAAGAGATTAGAGAGTGCACTGAGGGAAATAATTGTATTTATTTGGGATTAAGTTGTAATTCCTTTTGAAGGTTTTAAATATTAATTGGGAGTGTTTCTTGGCCAATAATTAATAAAAAAATAAAGAACATAGGTAAGATAGGAAAGATTACCAACTACTTTAGTATCAAATAATTTATGTAAATATTTTTTTAACAAGATTATAATATTGTTAAATTTTTGTAATGTATTTTTAGACCAATAAATATATTTTAAGAGCGTTTTGTTGCTAAGAAGTTAGACAAAAAAGAGTTGATTTATTATATTATATATGCGTCTCTAATCTAATGTAACTTGTGTTTCTTAATGATCATTTCTTTAATAAAAAATATAAATTATAATTATTTTCTAATAAAAATATTAACACTATTAAAATCTTTAGCTCTTGTTAATACTTTATTAGAATCTTTTCTTATGTAACAACCAATGAAAGATCAAACCAAATAAAGTTCATATTAACGTCATTATATTTTTGAATAATTCCACATTTTCAATCATTTTATTTTAAAATAATTAAATTAATCAAAAAACCTTTCTTAAAAAAAATCTTTTTTTATTTTTATAACCCATCATATTCAGTTAAATAATCACAAAGTTAATAATTTGTTCTCAAGAATATCAACACTTTCAATTAGAAGTTTACCTTGCTGCCTCGGATATTAGCTCACTTTTGCACCTTGCACTCGCTAAACGAACTTGACTCAACAAGACGGCAACAACTGACACATTAACTTGCACTTAACAAATATTTAATTATTGTGAACAGGAATATGAACGGAATATCAGGTGGGTTGTTCGCCTTTTAAGCGATCCGCGCACTTTGACTCGACGACAGAAACTGCGCTGGCTTTTCGGCAGCGAAAAGCCAAAGCCCCCAAAGACCCCACAGCCCCAGGGGACTATGGGGCGAACGACCATCTTTTCTAAGCAAAACCCTTTTTTTTATATTGTTAAAATATTTTATTTTACATATGTATTTGTATTATTTTGATATACAAATTTATTTCAAATAAAAAATAAAATAAATACAACAAATATTTAACACTGAAAATAAAATTTTAATTCTTAAAAAAAAAGGTTAAACCACGCCCATTTTCAGTAAAATATTTTCCTTTAGTTATAATAAACTTGATTAAAAATATAGAACTTAAAAACATGAATTTGTCCTAAGTTATTAATTAATGATACAAAAAGTGGTTGTTCGCCCCATAGTGCAGTCGAGGAAGAGAGAGGTAGCTCCCTGTAAGAGAGAGGGAACCCGGGAGAGCCAAAAAACAACATTTCTAGAATTAATCAGAGAGCGCGGGCGCAACGGACGAATTAAAAAAGATAATCTGAAAATAAAATAAATAAGCTTAAGTCAAGTTAGGAACCCATTTAACCAAAACCCACCACATTGCTTAGCTCAGACATCAACCTTGTTAAAAACAATCTAATAAAATCTAAATTACCCTTGGCAATCAGTTTAATGCCAATTTATGGCATGCAAATAATAATAATTATTAAATGTGAAATTGAAAACCAAACCCATCAACATCTAACGTCAGCGCGTGACGTTGGCACAAAAATTTCCACACTGCCTTATTTCGGTTTCTTTATTTTTCTTCAGCTTATCTTAGAAATCAAAAAGGCAAAAATCAGCCCGAAATCATGTCTCTGCAAACAATTTCTTTAATTAATTTAGTGTGTGCACTTGAGGGAACACTGAACTTTTCCACGATTCCCATGATTCAATAAAAAAAGATATATTGACGTAAAAGCAAATTCCAGATACCTGTAGACTTGCTTGTCTTATTTTAATTAATAATTGTGAAGCCAGGTAAATGGGAAATTGAGTTGTACAAATCAAAAGCACACTTTTATGAGGCGTAAGAAATTTATGGCAGCAATGTAGATAGATGTCCATTTAAATTGTCATGACAAGTAGATAGCTGTAAGGTGAGCTTAGGTTTTAAAGATATTTTATTAGGAATAGAATTCAAATATTAGCTAATTCTTTAAAAACTAATAAAACATATTACAGAATCTTAAAAACTATGACATAAGGACTCTCAACATTTTATTTATTTTTCTTTACCTTCATTTTTAAAGCCGTGGAATTAATTATTTACGGTTGCGGTAATTTTAGAAATAAACAAGAAAGGAAACTAACTTCGGTAAGCCGAAATTTGTATACCCTTGCAGTTTGCCACAGGATCTGTCATTTAATCAAAAAATCATCATAACTAAGCCAAAAAAGCATCAAATTCAATTCGGAAAGTTTTTCTGTGCTAGTTTTTTCCAGATAAACCAATCTGCTTACTTAAATTCACATTTTAAGATATTACAATTTTTGCTTCTTTTTTCTGTGACAATTAACCCATTTTAAGACCTCAAAAATACAAAAAGAAATTATGAAAAATGTTTTTCTTCTAAACATGGCTAGATCGAATCCTCTTTTTGTGCTGATCAAGAATATATATGATTTATAGGGTCGGAAATGACTCCTTCACAGACTAAAATCATAAAACCCTTTAAGAAGATCTGAAATATTCACTGTCTTTAAATGAATGCTTTTATATACTTTATATGGTAATTTTTTTATAAAAAATAATCATAACTAAGCCAAAAAAGCATAAAATTCAATTCGGAAAGTTTTTCTGTGCTAGTTTTTTCCAGATAAACCAATCTGCTTACTTAAATTCACACTTTAAGAAATTACAATTTTTGCTACTTTTTTCTGTGACAATTAACCCATTTTAAGACCTCAAAAATACAAAAAGAAATTATGAAAAATGTTTTTCTTCTAAACATGGCTAGATCGAATCCTCTTTTTGTGCTGATCAAGAATATATATGATTTATAGGGTCGGAAACGACTCCTTCGCTGACTAAAATCATAAAACCCCTCAAGAAGATCTTAAATATTCACTGTCTTTAAATGAATGCTTTTATATACTTTATATGGTAATTTTTTTATAAAAAATAATCATAACTAAGCCAAAAAAGCATAAAATTCAATTCGGAAAGTTTTTCTGTGCTAGTTTTTTCCAGATAAACCAATCTGCTTACTTAAATTCACATTTTAAGGTATTACAATTTTTGCTACTTGTTTCTGTGTTAATGAACCATTTTAAGACCTCAAAAATACAAAAAGAAATTATGAAAAATGTTTTTCTTCTAAACATGGCTAGATCGAATCCTCTTTTTGTGCTGATCAAGAATATATATGATTTATAGGGTCGGAAACGACTCCTTCGCTGACTAAAATCATAAAACCCCTCAAGAAGATCTGAAATACACAGTTTCTTTAAATTAATGCTTTTATATACTTTATATGGTAATTTTTTTATAAAAAATAATCATAACTAAGCCAAAAAAGCATCAAATTCAATTCGGAAAGTTTTTCTGTGCTAGTTTTTTCCAGATAAACCAATCTGCTTACTTAATTTCACATTTTAAGATATTAAAATTTTTGCTACTTTTTTCTGTGACAATTAACCCATTTTAAGACCTCAAAAATACAAAAAGAAATTATGAAAAATGTTTTTCTTCTAAACATGGCTAGATCGAATCCTCTTTTTGTGCTGATCAAGAATATATATGATTTATAGGGTCGGAAACGACTCCTTCGCTGACTAAAATCATAAAACCCCTCAAGAAGATCTGAAATACACACTTTCTTTAAATTAATATTTTTATATATTTTATATGGTAATTTTTTTATAAAAAATAATCATAACTAAGCCAAAAAAGCATCAAATTCAATTCGGAAAGCTTTTCTGTGCTAGTTTTTTCCAGATAAACCAATCTGCTTACTTAATTTCACATTTTAAGGTATTACAATTTTTGCTACTTGTTTCTGTGTTAATGAACCATTTTAAGACCTCAAAAATACAAAAAGAAATTATGAAAAATGTTTTTCTTCTAAACATGGCTAGATCGAATCCTCTTTTTGTGCTGATCAAGAATATATATGATTTATAGGGTCGGAAACGACTCCTTCGCTGACTAAAATCATAAAACCCCTCAAGAAGATCTTAAATATTCACTGTCTTTAAATGAATGCTTTTATATACTTTATATGGTAATTTTTTTATAAAAAATAATCATAACTAAGCCAAAAAAGCATCAAATTCAATTCGGAAAGCTTTTCTGTGCTAGTTTTTTCCAGATAAACCAATCTGCTTACTTAATTTCACATTTTAAGGTATTACAATTTTTGCTACTTGTTTCTGTGTTAATGAACCATTTTAAGACCTCAAAAATACAAAAAGAAATTATGAAAAATGTTTTTCTTCTAAACATGGCTAGATCGAATCCTCTTTTTGTGCTTATCAAGAATATATATGATTTATAGGGTCGGAAATGACTCCTTCACAGACTAAAATCATAAAACCCTTCAAGAAGATCTGAAATATTCACTGTCTTTAAATGAATGCTTTTATATACTTTATATGGTAATTTTTTTATAAAAAATAATCATAACTAAGCCAAAAAAGCATCAAATTCAATTCGGAAAGTTTTTCTGTGCTAGTTTTTTCCAGATAAACCAATCTGCTTACTTAATTTCACATTTTAAGATATTAAAATTTTTGCTACTTTTTTCTGTGACAATTAACCCATTTTAAGACCTCAAAAATACAAAAAGAAATTATGGAAAATGTTTTTCTTCTAAACATGGCTAGATCGAATCCTCTTTTTGTGCTGATCAAGAATATATATGATTTATAGGGTCGGAAACGACTCCTTCGCTGACTAAAATCATAAAACCCCTCAAGAAGATCTGAAATACACAGTTTCTTTAAATGAATGCTTTTATATACTTTATATGGTAATTTTTTTATAAAAAATAATCATAACTAAGCCAAAAAAGCATCAAATTCAATTCGGAAAGTTTTTCTGTGCTAGTTTTTTCCAGATAAACCAATCTGCTTACCTAATTTCACATTTTAAGATATTACAATTTTTGCTTTTTTTTCTGTGACAATTAACCCATTTTAAGACCTCAAAAATACAAAAAGAAATTATGAAAAATGTTTTTCTTCTAAACATGGCTAGATCGACTCCTCTTTTTGTGCTGATCAATAATATATACGATTTATAGGGTCGGAAACGACTCCTTCACACACTTTTGACTTAAATTATAATACCCTGCAAGGGTATAAAAACAAGGCACGCATAGAATTTTTGCCGCAGTCTGTTAACAATTAAATTTTACAATAAAATCTTTTTAGTTTTAGAAATTGTATACATTTTTGCCACGGTATGTTTACGTTTTACAATAAAAACTAAAAATGTAAAGCATGCCTTTTATAAAGTTTCTAAAATAAACGTAGCCGTAAATAAATAATAAATAAATATTTATAATTTGTATAATTTATGCCAAGCCATGTTGTGTGGTTATTAATCTGGTTTTAGAAATATACACCAGGAAATCAACTTAAAAATTCCCTAGTACTTACATTTTTGTACAACTGTAGTTAAAAAATATTTTAAAATCATTAAGCATATTTTTTAAGTACTTAAGTCTGCTACATTTATTAGTTAACTTTCCCCTTTTGAAAAAGATAAATCCAAACAACCAAATAAATAATTCTTAGAAGCCATTTCCCTAATTACGACATTCCCAAATCTCAGAAACTACCACCAAGATAAAAATCTTTACTAATTTCCATAAGTACACACAGAGAATGTCATTTTTGTGTAAGACAAAAAGCTGAATCAAGTCCACATTTCAGTTGAATAAAAAAAAAACATATGACTTGACTCCTGAACTCTTCCTGACACCTGACCAACGCCCACTTTTTAGCCGCAAATACAATAGTTCTTCAACGACCTTGGCCCGACATTG